GTTAACTTTACGTTGTTCCAAAGTCTCTTCCTGAATTTGAGCAGCCTGTCTTTCAGCTTGCGCTTGAAGTCTTTGATTGCATTCTTCTTCTGTTTCAGCTGCTCTTTGTGCTTGCATTCTTTAAGTGGCAGAAGACTTTCCATAGAAAGGGCGTTTCTTGGGTGGCATAATCACCTGTATCACTGAACAATAATTTGCAGTTCACAAAGTTACTAAATCACTTATGAAACCACTTAGCGCTATTTAAAGAAAACTGTTTTTGGAAATACTGAATTGACAGCAAGGTGATCTAAGTGTCTCCCACCATAACTCTTTCTATGTGCTTATGTTTGTATGTTTATTACAAAAAAATTTATTACATAAAATGGCGCAATAATCATTAATTGTCAATTTCGTCATTAAATACTATACCAAATACAAAATAAATAGCACCATTAAATTTCTTGTAAAAAACTGGGTATTATGAAGTTATTTTAAAATTTGTAAGTTCAGCCATTTGGTTTCCTATAGTGAACAAAATAAACAAATAAGTAAACTTCCTCTTTTATATATATAGATGTGTGTGTGTGTACATATGTGTATGTTTATATATCTTTCCTTTTACTTGCACATAATATATTGTACATCTTCATAATTTATGTGAATAAAATGTTTTGTTGTTTTGTTTGAATGTTTTTTACATAATATTGATTATAGTAAAGTAAAATAATTATCAAAGTATGGTGTTGAAGTAGGAACAAAGTTATTTTAAATGGTGGTTTTTCTGTGCAACTACTGCATGTTTGATATGGAAATGAATGGTACTTGGATGCTTTCAAAGGAGTGTGTACTCATGTAAATAAATGCACCACTTTAGGCAAACTGTATCTATATTCAACAATAGAAAAAGTATGAAAGTGAAAATTTATATAAGCTATACATGTAGTGTGTGTGTTTATATATATATAGACACACACACACACGCAAGCTAAAGGAAACATCAGATTTAATACCATGATCAGCTCTACAATGGTAAGTTTTTTTTTTTTAAGTAATTAATACTGATACACTTTTATGAGAAGGCTTCAGGCAGTGTATTGTTTGTTATTTGAATAAATCTAATTTCGAATAAATAAATAAAAATATTGTATTTTGCCATACAGCAAAATAGTTGAAGCTACCATTATAGACCATCTGTGCAGCATATGCAGGAATGTTGTTAGCAAGATGTAGCTGTTGCTGAAATTATTTATTTATTTTGCTTGTGCAACAAGTGAACAGGTAGGCCCAGTATCCAGAATTGGAGAAGCATCAATACTAGTCATTGTGTTCACCCATGTGAAATCAACATAAAACCTTAGCATACTCTCCTTCTTCCTGAAAATCACTAGTAAAGATGACCAAACACTCTTTGGAGGCTGTATGATACCATCCTTTAACATACACTGTATTTTGATGCTGCCTACATCCTCATTGCTCCAGGGAATCCCGCACAATCCTCAAAAAAAAAAAAAATGCAGTTACAATGTTCCCATCACATTTGATAGGTTGATGAAGCATACACGGAATGGACAGCAATGGAAAAAGTGCCTGGTCTACTCAACAATGTCTTGGTGTTCGGCCAACATTTGAGACCACTGCTGTAAACCTGAAAATGATACTTCAGCTAAAAAGAAAGGTTAAAAGTTGAAACTAGGGCAATGTGTGCTGATGTGCATGCAGGTGGAGTTTCTTGGTTATACTGTGGGAACAGCTAGAGTTTCTACTGACCTTTCAAATAGTGCAATACACACTATCAAGCAGAAGCTTCCAGTCTAATAAATTGGGACTAAACTTTCTGTACATCATGATGGTGTACTGTGCAACAGAACAGGGATCACTTGATGTTTGGTTGGGAAATATTTGCTCACTGTGTATGTGATGTATGGTCCTCTTCCTAGAGCAGATGTGCAGCATTATCCATAAGAGTATGTGGAATAGCTAAAGTCTGTGTTGGCTAATGCTCACAAGTTTCTCTGCTAACAGTTAGGAAGGGATGTCATAAACCAGTGGAAATGTTAAGACAAAACAGTCAAGGAACATTAGTTCCAGCATGGTAAGTGCCAGCAGTTTGGAAGCAGCACCTGTCTGGCTGTACAGGACTTTATATCAGACATGGACAGATTGGTCTCTTGACATACGAGGTACAGCAGTCATTGTGTCATGTCTAAGCACATGTAGCAGTTCAACAAGCTAGGACCAAATGTTAGTGCCATGTCTCTCATGCACTGGTTTCACCAGGAATCAGAGGTTGAGACTTACAAGTCAGAGGACAGTGAGAGTACTGTTTCATATCAACTGATGAAGAGGAATATACTGAAACACTTGTATAGTTGTGCAAGATGAGCCAGATGATGAGGTGGCAGATA